ATATCGTCCCGTGCGGCGGATAACGCAGACGGCGGTTGCTTGGCGCGCCCGACGACGACGACGACGACGACGACGATGACGGCGACAACGACGAGGGTGACGCGCGCGCGAGGAACCTCTTATTTGGCAGCGGCGAATTTTCGCGACTAAAATAGTTTACTCACTCGCTCGCTCGCTCACACGCATGCACGCACGCAAGCAAACACGCACGGCTCCCGCTCGCGCCTTTGCCGAGCGTACAAACGTAGAACTTACGTCGGCGGACCGTGACCGAGGATAGTCGTCATTTCAGGTACTAAACGGGTAGCGTGTTCCAACAAACTGCCGTTGCTGTCGCCGCCACCGCCGCCACACCGCCGTCGCCGTCGTCGCCGTTGCCACTGCGTGGTATGTCGCTGTCGTATATTCGTACAGTTAATACGCTCGCATCGTATCCTCCTCGAAGTAGCACGCGAATATTATTCTTTAGTCACCGTCGCACCACGTACCGTTCGTCTCGCTCTTGCTGGCTGTGCCTAGCTGGCTGGCCTCAGGCCTGGCTCGTGCCTGCACACACAGAAACAACGAAATCGACTCGCATGAATGGCGGATACACACGGCGGCCGGCGTGGCGCGCATGCGCCAGTTTATTAATAGCGGCTTGCGTATTGTCGTCATCGTTCGCCAATCGGCGCCGCGCCATTTCCGTTCGCGCTCAGCCGATATCTCGTTTTATAGGATCATCGCGCGCGAGGTAAAATTAACTTGCTCTCGTTCCCTCTCTCTCTCTTCTCTTTGTTTATCTGTCTCTCTCTCTCTCTCTCTCTTTCTCACACGCGCGCGCGCGCACGCAACACTAGAATTAACTCCGACGACGTGTCGCGCGAAAACAGCGTTACACGCACGATTTCGCGGCCGATAGATCTCGCGTAGTCATCGATAATTACTTGCGACGTTAATTGGCTGTCGGCGTCACGCGACCGATATGACCCCTGGGCCCCAGGCAGCCCCAGGCCCGGCCCGGCGTGATCAATTCGGCGGATCGCCGGCGCGAATGAAAAGCGTTCCGTTCCGGCGTACTTATATTTGTATATCAAGATCGGTTTATTGATCGGTTTAATAGCCGATGGGAATTCCGCTACGGCGAGAACGTCAACGGGTCATTGGATTACACGTTATTACGCTCAGATGCGCTCCATTAATCCGCGTTTGAGCGCGGCTGCCTCTTGTATTCTATCTATAAGCACTATAAGCGCGCCGCCCGATTGTGGCGATCGGTTCTCATTGATCCTCTAGCGCGCGCAACTTCGGGCCTCGAGGCTCGGCCCGTTCCCGCGCGACCGAGGATGCACACGCGAGGCACAGTGTGTGTATCACCTCTATCGGCATCAGCTCGACCCAGTTTCGAATAATTGTGAGAAAGTGGAACGTAAACGGCAGCCGTTCGAATCCACGCGATTCAGAAGTTTCCCCCGCGCGACGCATGCGCCAAGAGATGCTCCTTTTCTTTTTGTTCCATTTTTACTTTTTACCTATATATATTGACTTTATCGTGATTTTTTAACTTTTTTTTTTTTTAATCCTTTTTCAGTTCTAAGAATTAAAATAAGACGAAAAGTAAATCGAATCATCGGAGCTAAAAATTTGTAACAATTATTGACGTTGAAGTCTGAGATCCATTTAATTTATGTTAATTCGTGACTAAAGGCACTATTTAATTTCGAGAAATATAATGTAACTCGTAAAAAAGAATCCGTCCGTATATGAATATTAAGTTTATTTTTTAATAACAATAATCCAAATTTGTAGATGTAACATAAATAATTGAGTGGATCCGACAGACAGATCGTTCTTAGAACTAGAACAAGATAAAAATAAATTAAATTGAGATTAAAATTACTCTATATTGATAGACACGAGTACTAATCATTGATTAAGTTTATGTCATCCTCTCAATCGAGGTTTAATCGAAATAAAAGGTATTTTTATTTTTACGCTACAGTCCGCCATGCAACTGTGAAAGGTGTTTACGTTTATTCGATAATTGGGAAAAGTTGAAAATTCGTGGATTTTTCAACAGGGTTTCTTTTAATAAGCGAGGCAGATTAATAGAAAATTAATTTAATTTTTCAACAAAAGGCGGTGCTTGAAAAAGATCATAGAATCTTCTATAGTTGCGTGTCTTGCAATAAATAGATTTAAATCGATTTTCAACGCAGGTAGGAGAATCTAGAAAGCGATGGTTCGCATAAATCGGTGCTTATTAAACAGTTACTTTGTTTTCGAAACCAAGGTCTCTAGGAATCATGTATTGTTTAATCACTTCATCCGTTACTCTACTTTTCGCTTCTTGATGCGCGGCGACGAGTCGCTGTAGAACGTCGATCAGCTCCTTCTTTAGCTCGCCTGTCAAAATCTCCCCGCTGGTATAGCCCTGAAAAATAAACGTTATTTGTACATCATTATAGTTTAATGACTATCAATGTAACTTAGCTTTTTAGTCTCACTTTAACTAAACTTCCATCTTAATCCTAAGAAAAAGAGACGAAAAGTTGAATCGAAATTAAAGTTAGATCTACATTGGTAGAAATGAACATTAGCATAAAAGTAAACGATAGATGTAGGTGTTCATAATTGATTCTTGTATTTAAGACCAGACTTCATATTCGATTGTGATTGGCCAATATCTTACGACTTCAAGCTTAGTACACTATTGTTACAAAACCAATTACGGAATGCTATTATTTTAAGACATTACTTAAGACGATTTTGAAATAAGAATCGACTATCAGCTAAAGTGTCGACTGTTGTGTCATTTATGGAAAACAATTAGAGTTGTATTATATTCATGTCGCATTCACATACATTGCCAAGGATTTTCCATAGGTGACAACAATTGGCCGGCAGTTTGTCTATCGTACACTTCTGGCTTTAGGCCAAGTACATGATAGATAAAGTGTCGGCCAAGTATTGTGTTGTTTATAAAAAATCCTTGGCATTGTACACAGAATATGGTACAATTTTAATTGTTTTCCATAAACGACATAACAGTCGACCGACATTTCTATCGTGCGATTTTGCCCAAGAGGTTGAGAAAGAATTAAAACACACAATTAACGCGAGACTGACTTTCCTAATTTGTTCCAAACGCTCGTCGTCTTCCAAGAAGAATCGCAGCCACTGATAAGATATGTCCACCTCACAATTGCCACCAAGCTGTCTGTGCTCTTCCACAGTGGCTTGACCACCCGAGAACGCGTGCTTATTGATCTTGTTTTTGATCTGCTTAGCGGTATCTGTAAGGAATATTGCCGTGTTGTTGTCGCTCGCCGACATTTTTGTCTTCGAGCCCTGTAATGCCGGGAAGAAGGTCGCATGCAACAATGCTGGTTTGGGAAAACCCAGCCTGGGCGCCACGTCCCTCGTCATGCGGAAGTATGGATCCTGATCGATCGCGCATGGTATCAGACAGTGCACTTTAGCGTTCTTGAAAATAAAGGGAAACGAACCAGAGATCGCCGGTACCGCCTGCGTTGGTGGGAACGCGATCTTCGCGATCGGATCGCTATCGCCGAAACCGAAAATGCCCTTCACCTGGTTAAATGTCACGCATTTCTGTATCCTGATCATGTTCTGATAAAATGCTGAATTGTTTCCTATGTGCTCCAAGTTGGAAAAAATAAAGGTTTTCTCGGGATTAAAGCCACAGGCAATAATGTCTCTTGCATTGGCATAGGCCAATTTAATAGCATCTTCTATATTTAGATTCTTCCATATAGCTTTCTCATCGTCTGTCAACTGTATGATTAATGGTATGTTGAAAACTTCTTGTAACCATTTAGAGAACATGAAAGGTATGAGATGCCCCAGATGCATCGCATCAGAGCTCGGTCCTCTGCCTGTATACAGATAAAAGAGCTTTCCTTGCTCGTAAAGGTTCAGAATAGTATGCATATCTCTGTGGGAGAAGAATATGCCTCTTCTGAGAAAGCGATGTGGTTTCTTGCCAGTGATCTTTTCAAATCTAGCTAATAATTCATCATCTATCCTAGAACTTCCAAATCTTTCTAAAAAAAAAGAAAAGAAAATGTATTAGTCTGCAAAGTTCAAGAGTATAAATGATATAAATATAGTACTGTTCTTTGTATTTGAACTCTTATACTTAAAATAAAATACATATTTAAAGCTTGATAAAAACGAGATAGAAACCCATACAGCATATTTTGATGCTTTCCAGCAAGAATAATTTAGTGTAACATGATGATCACAGGATAATATAGTGAATTATTTTATCTTTAACATTGTTTAACATTCGTAGATAACACACAAAGTCTAGAAGACATCTTTATGATATCTTTTAGACATGTACATCTTAAAAGATTTTATGATGACTTTATAACGTCTTTTAGACATGTATGTTGTCTGAGTAGTTGTCTTAGTAAACAGTAAGAATCACTTGTGTTATCCTGTATCACTTATCCTATATTATCTACGTCTCTTATTGGAAAAGTACCTATACGATATAATATAAAAATTCACTGTGATATATATATACTAGACCTATTCTTTTTAGCTAAACCTTTTTACAGTTTATTTTTCTTTTCTCTCTATGTTGAAAAAAAAAAGATAAAAGACCGTGCAAAAAGTTCAAGGTAAACAAATAAACCTAATTATTATTTATCTCTCGTTGAAAATGAAATGCATTATGTCTTAGAAAAGTCTTAGGACAATTTTTGAAAGTCTATGTTATATAAAAATTTTAATGCAGTTCATTGCAATGATAAAAAAATAGGTATTATACCTTATGTGCACTTTGTTGCGAACATAACCTAAAAAAATCATGAAAAAAAATCGAACACTTATTCCTCGCGTGAATTGTTCATAAATCTGCAAGGATAATTTGGCATCATAAATTACTCCCTCGTAAGAGGCGCGACTTACTAATCAACTTGTCATAATCGATCCCGGAATCGTTGACGCTCGTCACCGTCCACGGTGTCACGACGTCCTCGTCTTCGGCGATGCCGTTTAACACACGTTCTTGTACCTGCGCGTCCTCCGTCGTCATGTTTTCCTCGTTAGCGTTCCTTTTCTCAAATTCTGAACGCGGTCGCACGAAAATCCACGTGGGCGATCTGGCTCATGTGCGACACAGCTGGGGACACCGTTGCGGACAGCTCGATTCTGAGAGGTTATGTCATCATGCTGCCGTGCAAACGAAGAGGGTACCGACTACCGTTTACCCCGTTTACCTGGCGATGCGCACGCAAGATGAATCGTCGCATCGTGAAATTTTCGCGCCACATCCTAATTGCGGAGCTGATGCAATCGTCGGCACGATTTCTGTCGCGATGGCCGCCGAATCCGTGAGAATAAAACCGCATGATTACATATCGCGATGGCTGACGACATAAGGCAGATTTTTATCGTTTCTGTCATTGTGCTGTCAATTCGCTTGGCAAGCGAAGATCATTCATCAATGCGGTCTTGGCGAACGCTTTCGCGATTCATTGTAGCCGCGAGTAATTATTTTATACGATTTTACGCAAGAGCCATTCCGATTTCTTTCCTGCAGGCTTTGTCTATAAAGTGCTCGACGATCTAATCGATGCGTCATCGTCATGTATTTCCTGACGTCATGCCACTTCCGCGAAAAAATTGCATTTCCTGAGATTCGCAGCGGAACTTCGACAATTCGCGTTAGCAATTCGCATTTCATATTTCGCACATGTCTCGAGTCACTAGTGACATCTAAGACGCTCTTCATACTTCAATCTTCTAATTTAGCTAATTATGATTAATTGCAAAATTAATTTAAGATTATCTTAAGTCTGATCTTACAATTAGATAAATCTTAAAATTACACACATCTAGCCAATGAAAAATCATATAACATTTTAGAGATCATATTTGAAACGATATAAAATTAGATAAACATTACTTTATTTTCTCTTTGTTTCTCTGTGTTTAATATCCATTCTTTTTGACTGAATTTGTACGGTTTAACTTTTATTTTTTTCTCTGATATGTGTGAAGAAAAAAAGAAGAAAGATGAACTGTGCAAAAAGTTCCAGTTCAGTTGAAAAGAACAAGCCTTGTGTTTTCATTAATAAGATAAATATGTATCCTAAGTCTATTTTTTTTTGTAAGAGAGAGAGAGAGAAAATCTTAATCATTTTGTATTGTAAATACAAAAAATTTTGATTAGGATTAAAAGGCAACAAATATAATAACGACACAAATATTAAGGGTAATAACTTACAAAGATACATTTATTGAGATACATCTGTTTAGTAAGATATACATAAAAATAATTTGCAGGCTAAAAAAATAGTTCCATGTTACTCTCCGGTATAATTTTATCTTTCAACTACTTCTATAGGTATCACGTTGCAACCCAAAAGGCCTTTGCCAACCCAAGGACGCGGGATTAACGATAAAACAATGGAATTCGAACCACGTTTAATTTTTACGTTGATCGTCTTGTATCTACTGTTTTCCACTAGCTTTCCAATGTCTGTTAAGGATTTGAAATTTCGGCAATGAACAGATCCAAATTCCAATATCAGATCCTCGACTTGGATACCCTGAACAAAAAAAAAATAGCAGTAGCTTTTATTTCTTCTATCCAATTAAAAGCTCTTGTACGTAACAAAATTCTAGTCGCAACTGTAATTCTGTACACAAATTGACCAATTAGAAGATGCTTTCTATTCGCGGTGACACAAGTCAATACAAATATCATTTTATCTTTCTTAACATTTAGTAATCGAAATAGAACAACACTTGTGTCAACTTAAATTATATACCAAATAGAAAGCATTCATAGTTATAATTATTTTCTTTACCAATGAAGAATAATTGATTGCAATATTAAGTTTTCTTATTTACAGTTATGATTAAAAATTTATTATCTATATTTCTATATGTATACAAAAATTTTAAGCAAAATGAGGCAATCATTAGCAAATAGATATAATAAATTATGACAATTAGATTCATTTATAAATCATCCATGCAAAAGCATAGAGATAATACATACCGCAGTCTCTGCTGGTGAACCAGGTGAAACTAAATTCACCCTGAGGAAAGGCTCTAGCGCTTCTGTCTCTTGACTGTCAGATATTTCAGATATCGGTTGTTCAGTTATACTTGCTCCTGCTAAAGCATGAACTCTGTGCAATCCCTCTTCTATCTTTCTCATCAAATCTTTGTGATCATTTGTAAGCCCTATATAACAACACAATATTATTCAAATAAACACACACACACACACACATACACAGTGCATTGTTTTGCTTTATGTTACAAGAAATATATTTACATACATATTATTTTGTGTCTCGTGTGTCTCACTTGATAAACGTTGATATCCTGCCTGGGATATCCTTCGGAATCCACCAGCGGCTCGTCCATGCCGATATGATTCTGCAATTACGTCAAGAATGTAATACGAAGCTTTCAAAAATCTGACAGATCATGCTGCAAGACAAGCTCGGTATTCCGTTCGATGACAACGTCACTCTTGCCACTACGATGTAAAACCAAGTGTAATACATACGGAATCTAAGATCTCCTTCAGCGCTCGTAGATCAGATTCAATCTTGTCTTTCTCCTTCATCAGCTGAAGAATAGCATCTTTAGCTTCCTGCAACTCCATGTCGACCACCATTTTCGTTTTGATCGCCTAGCGCTGGTCCGGCTGATCGCGAAACACTGGCAGGTACGTACACGCGTTTCACGGGTTCTGTATCAAGAAATTATGAAAAAATTCTATAGTATTCATGATTTATTATACATATATTTTTCACACACACACACACACACA